AAGGGGCCCCCCAAAAATTGAGCTGCTTCCAATTCTCCAGAACATTGAATTTTGTGACCACAGTTGCAAACAGCCTCCAGATATCCTGTTCTACACCAGACCAGTGGAGCCAAACTGTAGCCCATCATCATCCTCATCTGGTTGTAAGTAGGCAATCTAGTGCATTATTAGTGACACTAATCTATAATTTACCTCAGCAAACCGAGCAGGGAGCGACCATATCAGACCTATTTGCGGCCTCCCGTGGGGCTCACATTGGACCCCAAGATATTCCCACATGTTCCAAGAACACCTCCAAGCTTGGACAGCAGGTCACATCCCGAATCTCCCCAGACTGACACCATGCAAATCCTGTCCAAATTATCAGAGGTCCGGTTACTTGGCCAGCAAAATCGTTCGCACCACAAATTAAGTAAAGGCCAAGATCCATGCTTTGGGTGCAAGGATGGTCATCTTAGAACAAAGGCTGGAGTCCACTACTGTCATCCACAATGAGCTCATCTCACAAGTCAACCATCTATTTTAATGGGAATCTGCACTATTATAACAATATTCACCTGCAAGGACTCCAAAAGCAAGAAGGTAAATGCCCACCAATCAAAGTGGTCACAGCTATACTTAATCCATTGCTTTGAGACTTGCTGGAAGAACAATGGCACTTAGAAAGGGCACACCGTGCACTGAGAGCAGGGAGGGCTGACAAAATATGCCCAGGGATGTCATCATTAGATTTAAATTCTTTCAAACCAAAGGAGAAGTAGCAAAGAAGGTCCTGTTATCTATAATGGCAGAGATCTCACCCTCTTCTAGGACTTATATCCATTTACTTTGCAAAGACATCGGAAACCAAAACCGAAATTGGAAACAGTTACAGATTTTCTACACAAGAACAAATATGCCTGGGGCCATCCTTTCTGCCTGTTGACTTATTAGGATGACCACACCCGTTTGCTTCAACCAGGCAAAGACGCTGCATTTTTCCACGACTTGGAGATCCAGGCCTCTACCGACCTTCACCTGACAATTACTTTGGCAACAGACCTACCATTCCTCCCAGGGGACTGGGTTTATGGTGGGGGGTGAGGTCCTTCGACCTAGAATATTTGTCTTCTTTTGGCTGGCTGGCCAGCTCTTGGAGCATTGACCTGCAGGCACTGATTGTACAGCACACTGATTGAAGGAGTTTGTCGAGACCATCCTGGGGATCACTAAGCACTACCAAAGGACTTACTCGGGCTCTATATACTAGATGGCTGAGCATGTTGTTTAACTCCCCCACATAACTTGCCCTACTGTCACATTGCTCCATCTGTGAATGGCTACTAGATACGGTTCCTGATGGCCATTGCAAAGTGGGTCGGGAGCCTTTAGGTAGGGCTGGATACATTGGGGATCCAAGACTCTATTTTATTTTACTTTTCTAGTCTTCATGGATATACAAATAGGGTAAGAAAAAAAATTATAATTAGAGACTTTTCGATACCCTCTGGTAGTATATGTATATATAGAATTTGTCTAATTTTCTGATTATCCAGATACTGAAGCTTAGTTCTTTACTGTTTATGTGATATGTGTTTATGGTCATGATATCTCTATGGCACATGTATCAGTACATGATTTTTAAGGTATCCCACCAAATGCTCTTTGAATCACAACTGAGCAAGCATGCTTGTGTCACTTTGTTCCGGTTTGATAGCAGGCAACATTTTGGCAGCCTTTGCCAATACAGGTAAACAGCGTGGATCCAATATCCACTAATGAAAGGAGATAGGTGGAACTAGAATCCTCTTTTTTAGAGGATTTCTCCTTTTGGGCGGGTGGACGCGAGCAGCTATGCGGGCACAAGATTTCAGTGACCGGCAGGAGGGAAGCGCTCCCTCCTGCCAGGCCACCATCTGGACTCCCCGGCATGGCGTTCGGCATTGGAAAGATCAGACGCGGCGAGGGAGCTCTAACCTCTCTGCTCCCTTGTGCAATGTTTTTCTGATGCCGCGGGAGCTGGAATATGACGTCATATTCCGGCTCCTGGCATCAGTAGACAGCCTGCGAGGGAGCAGAGAGGTTAGAGCTCCCTCGGATAAGAACTCTGCCGCCCGCCGAAGTGAAGTCCCACTGGATCCCAGGGACAGATCCACACCAGCTGGGTGGACATTTGATATTATAATTTGTGTGTATGTAAGTGAATGTGTGTGTGTGTGTCTGTAAGTGTATGTGTGTATGTGTGTGTCTTTAAGTACATGTATGTATGTATGTGTGTGTGTCTGTAAGTGTATGTGTGTGTGTGTCTGTCTGTAAGTGTGTGTGTGTCTGTAAGTGTGTGTATGTGTGTGTCTGTAAGTATATGTGTGTCTGTAAGTGTGTGTGTATCTTTAAGTGTATGTGTGAGTGTGTGTATGTTTGTCTGTGTGCATATGTGTCTCTGTGAGTGTGTCTGTAAGCATTAGTGTCTGTACGTGTATGTGTGAGTGAGTGTATGTTTGTCTGTATGTATGTGTTTCTCTGTGAGTGTGTGAGTGTCTGTAAGTGTATGTGTGAGTTTATGTTTGTCTGTGTGTATGTGTTTCTCTGTGAGTGTGTGTGTGTGTCTGTAAGTGTGTGTGTGTATGTTTGTCTGTGAGCAGAGTACTTTAAGAATAGAAGAAAGAAGGAGCAGAGTATTTGTAAAAAGGAGAAAGAAGGCGCGGAGTACTTGTAGAATAGGAGAAAGAAGGAGTAGAGTACTTGTAAAAAAGGAGAAAGAAGGAAAATAAAGAGGAAAATGAGAGAATTGTTGTTGGCTTATAATAATAAGTGGGCTGCGTACCTCTGGGTACTGCTTTAAGGAAGGTTAAAAAATAGAAAAAAGGAAGAAAAAAAAGGTGGGGAGGTGAATTGAGGAGGCAGAGGAGGGGAGTTGATGCACAGATGAAAAATCATATTATGAGCAAACAGAGAAATCGTCTGAATATCACCGAAAGAGGAAACCTTACGAAAATCGAACAAGATACCAAATATTTAGTCTCGAAGCATCAACCTCAAGGATCTCAATCACTAGTAAAGGTAATTTCAATTTACTTTATTGTTTTCTCATTAAACTTTATAAAGTTAAAAACATTATAAACATTCATAGGTAGAAAAAAAAAGATAAATGTACGTACATTTATTTTATATTTTTTAAAACACCCTCCTTTCTAAAAAATATTCTGCACTTGCGCGAAAACTGGTGGGCGGTAAGGACATTTTTCCATCATGAATGATGCATTAGTTAGCAGTAGGTAGAAAAAGGTTGACTACCAATGCACTACACTATTAACTGCGAATCCACAGAGCCAAATCTTTTCCTTCACTTACTTTACTTTTCTCTTTCTCACTATCCTTCACCATTTATCTTGGTATTTACAAGGTTATGAGCACAGTATGAAGAGACAAGTCCAGTTGTCTTTCTCAAGTGCTCGACTCTCTCAGTTGGGCATTTGAGCATAAAAATTCAGGCAAATAATTTCTACTCGCCCAACAGAATAGTATTAATACCAATGTTAATGGTAATGTATTCCCTTTTACTTTGTTTATATTTCTTTTATGCTATACTTAAAAACTTTGACAGTTTGTCTTCACATTACTGTATTGGGACACAGCTCATGGTACACCTTTATTTGACTAAATGAACTGCTTATTATTGAATAATTGTATAACTGCACAATGTATACTACATTGTGAAATGTGGACTATCGTGTAAACCTCAATCTAATTTCTCTTTTTCTTGACATCTGTCACAGCAAAAATAAACAATTAAAAAAAAAGTGTGGAAAACAAAAAAAAGTGCATAAAAAATGAAAATAAATAAAAGCAATAATATTAGGGATTTCACAATGCATTTTGCATATCCTCTGGACCTGGTCCCACATATCACAGGTGGGGATTATATCACCCACGCTGATGCTAGAGGGCAAATTAGTTGCTCTACAAAATGTAAGTAGGTTTTCTTAATTTTGGTCTTTCAGTTTAGTAGATAGCTCCTAATCCTTATGTGGGGTGTCCAAAAAGGAACTATCTACTAAATTGCTCTCTAATTTGGTATCCTTAAATATGGCAATTCCATGAAGGTACCAATTTAGGGAGTTATCTACTAAATGGATACAAGAAATTAATGAACAAATTTCATCCAAAAAGTAATGCATAAATGGAAGAAATTCACTTAGGTAAACATTTTTTTCATCAAAAGTATTCGGAGGAAATTCAAGTTTAGTTTGGAGGGTTCCCTTACGTTCAGTGCTTTCTGCCTCTACACTTCATCTCAGAATTTTAGAGCTGTATCCTTACCCCATTGTTGGGGGTTAACTTTTATTCCTGTAGCAGATACTAGAAATAGTTATCTTTTACTGAATCAGTACATGACACCGTATGTCAGTTCAAGATGACCACACTTTAATTTGAGACAGCTGCACATATTTATGGACAGAAGTTACAGCAAAAAGTAACTTAACAAGATTACATCAGCTAAACACGATATTGCTTATTCAGCAACCAACAACATGTATTTCTGGTAGCGAGGTCAAAAGGTTATCTCATTGATGGTCGGCAAGAGGTTCATTTTTAAGCTGACATTTAACTAGACTATTTAAAGAATAAGCTGCCCATTTACAGTAGTCACGTATTTCATTTTTAACCCTTCACCCATATTACTATTTATTGAAAGCAGAAGTATAGAAAAATAGAATGGTAAAAGTAAAATATATAACAATATGTTATAATAAATAATTAAATGGATTAGTCATATGTTGTGCTGCATTTACCTAGAGTGATGAACCCCTGTTTTTATAGTTACATTTTGACAATGATCTATTATTGTTTAAAAATGATCTAATATGGGGGGGGCGGAGCCTAGTGGGAAAACGAGCCAGACGCCATATCGGGCAGCTCCTGCTTAATCGAGCACAATCCACTCAATATCACCCAAAATCAATGCCATCCAGGCGTACAAGTAACATCACCACACAGGGGAGACCACCCTGCACCACCAGATGCCATTCCGGTATACCCCAAGACAGGCCAAACTGAAAAACAAAGTTCGGGCCTTCTACGCGCCAAACAGCCGCGGTCTGGAGTACCTGCTGGGCAGAGAGGACGTCTGGAACACTGGGGACGAGCTGCAACAGGACTCCGAGGATGAAAAACAGGAGATGGGACGCAGGTCACAAAGGTCCCAACAAGGTACTGCCACAATTCCAGCCCTATTCCAACGGCAGGCACCCGCCAAAATGGCAGCTGAACAAGGCCCAGACCCACCACACAAGGATACCCCCCCAGAGTAACCTCTCAGGGAGCCACACAGGGGCCCATACAACCTACACAGCCCACGCTGCCCACACCCACAACCCAGCAGGGATCTGCAGATCCGGCCACCAAGCAGGACCTGCAGCAAATGCAAACCATGCTGCAGGACATACAAAGCCTACTGGCAGCAGACTTACCTGCGCTCAAAACGAGCATGCAACAAATCACTGAGAAATTTGTTAATACAGAGGGAGAAGTAAGGGTAATCCAGGGAGAAATCTCCACACTGAAAGAAACCCTCCTTCAGCTGCAACACAGCCACCAACTCCTGACAGTACAAGTGGTGGTGCAAGAAGATAAAAATCGACGCAACCAGATCAAAATCAGAGGCATACCCGCCTCAGTAAGCAAAGAGGACATGCCACACTATATGACAAGGCTCATGCAATCACTGCTACCACCTACAATGGCACGGAAGCTCACATTTGCAGGGATATACCACCTACCTACGCCTTCCAGAGCTGCTACTACGCTGGCAGGAGATGTCATCGTCCGCTGCGTCCTACCCCAAGACAAGGAGCACATCATGAATGCGATCAAAGGAAAAACCCCACTGGACTTTGAGTCCCAGCTAACCTTCTATCAGGACTTAACCAAAACTACTCTCCAATGGAGAAAATCACTCAGTGAACTCACCGGTCGGCTGCGCACAGCGGGAATACCATACCGCAGGGGAAACCCATGCTCCCTACTAGTCACCCACCAGGGGACCACACACAAACTCTCCTCGGGGACTGAAGCCCCCACACTCCTAACAACACTGGGCCTACAGAACAAGCCAGACCAAAACACTGACCAAGCCTGGAACCCAGCAACCGCGGAAATATTTGTACCAAGAAGGCAGAGAATGGACACTCAGGCTACCTGACGGGTAGGGGGGGAGAAGTCTCCTATCCCTGCCTGCTCACAGGCAATACAAACTGTTCATATTGTTAAATAATGCCTATACTCCATTTTTCGCTCACGCACAACTGTTCATGTTATACGAGTTACGACACTAGTTTAATACTTCATACGAGAGCTTGCTAGAGAGGGCGCTGGCTCCCACTACCGCGTCCATAGACCATACACTACAGAACTCACCACCTTCCCCCGACAGCACCTAGGTTAGGGCTACCACCCCTCACGAGTAGTCATTACCGAGTGCAAGCCCACCACATCTCTACCAAGAGGTAGAACGTACCACTGACCTACTCACGCGACTCACCAACCAACATAACAACTAATACCAAACCCCTACCGACCCAAGTAAAGAACCAACACCACGACTAGCCCGCTGGCTACACATGCACCGGGTCGGACACCTGCAACCTACCCACGACTTAGGTATCAAAACCACAATCAAATACAAATCCCACATGTACTCTAGACTCTATTCAACACCTAGGATTACATGCTTGTTATAAGTAAAAAGAAAATGTTGTGCTGAGATATAACGCATGCATTGTATAAACGTTGTTGAAACCTGTTAACACAAACTGTGATGCATATGACAAATCTATTATGGGTTTAAAAAAAATTATCTAATTTGTCTACCACTTGGGCTCCATCTAATGCTAAGATTTTAGTTTTTAGCTTTTGAATTAGGTTTGGGGTGAAGGGTTAACATTAGCTAGTTGTAACATTAGGTTTAGGGTTAGGTTTAGGTTTGGTGGATGTGAGTTATAGCTTGATTAGATTTAGGATAATGTGCACACTCCAGGTTAATTCCATTTGACAAATAGTTTCCTACCCATTTCTGTCACAGACCCCTCATTAAACTGATAATGAACAACCCATGTTAATAAGGTAATCTCATTAGTGCAATAATAAAGTTAGGATAGATAGGAACTGCTAAAATTGGGCTACATTGATGGTTTATGCAATATTTGTTCATATGCAACTGGATACATTAAATGGGCTTTATGATTAATTTAACACATTATCTGACCTTCTATATACTAAGTGCATCTGTTCATTCTTCTATAGAAAAAATATTGCACCATAATTTTTGGATTTCAAAATTTGATTGAATATTAAACAAATTAAAATAACATAATGGGTGCTGGGGTTACATAACCAAACACTCTAAACAATCATTGCCAAGTTACAGATCGCATGAGAAAATAAATGATAATCAATCAAATAAAATATCAAATATAATAAAACAATACATTTTCTGTTCTTGCTTGAGATGCATTAAAGAAAAAGGAGATGAAAATATTATAATATTCTGTAACATAAATACAGAAGAATAACAGGCCCTGTATGCAAGTAAATCCCAGTGTAATTTAGTTAGATCTACTTACCTCTTACTAGCTTATCTTTTATCTGGTCCCAGGTTGATAGAAGTCACTTTGTATGCAATCTTTTCAACCCCTTTACCCTTTCCAAACAAATCATGAATACATGTTTTGGTTTTTATTCACTTTGTAAATTGACCTTAATTTATGCTCCAATGATTATTACCAGGAATGATTGCCAGCCCTTAGAGGAACATATGTCTCTGCCAGGAACCAATTACACTCATTTATTGTATGAAATTGTGCTGAAAATTGCAGTTTCTTTCCTCCTTTCAAAATATTAGTTTCAATGGGTAATGCCAGTCCTTACAGCCAGGGGGCAGAAGTGAAATGTGCTCTCCTATTTCCCTGTTCGAATTTCATTCCAAAGGTTCATTAAGATTGCTATAGTATTTTTTAATAAATTTATTTTAGAATTATATGACTTAAATGTAGGCATGGTGAAATAACTTGGTGTGTGCAAATCTAATTATCTGAATTTTTTTTTTATTTTTTTTTAATTCAGGCAATTTGGCTTTCCTCCAGGTGGCATCTCAGTTCAGATACACTTTGCCCATAAAATTGTTTTAAGAAAAAAATATTTGGATGAACCAAAATGGCACAAAAATGCGCCAATCAGTATTCGGTAAAATATTGATATGATGTACAGTTGCAAGACAAAGTATGTGAACCCTTTGGATATGGATTTCTGCACAAATTGGTCATAAAATGTGATCTGCTCATCGTCTAAGTCACAACAAAAGACAATCACAGTCTGCGTAAACTAATAACACACAAAGAATGAAATGTTGCCATGTTTTTATTGAACACACTATGTAAACATTCACAGTGCAGGTGGGAAAAGTATGTGAACCCCTAGACTAATAACATCTCCAAGAGCTAATTGGAGTGAGATGTCAGCCAACTGGAGTCCAATCAATGAGATCTTCTTGACCCTCAACACGTAGTCTTGTCTTGTGATTGGAGGGGACAGCTATATTCACACTGGGGATTGCTATGCTCTACATACTCCCCTGAGCTTTAATCACTTAGCTCTTTTAAGAGCTGTTCCTGTTACACTCTCCTGGAGGAAAGGTATTTCCCCACACGGTCCTGGAGGACAAGCTGATCCAGGATGGAAGGAAGACGGCGAGACTCCAGTTAAGCTACGGCGGTTGTGGAGTCTGCGGTGGTTGTGGTGTCCAATGCGGTGCTTGTGGTCCTCGGCGCAAGCTAGGAAGCATCCATTAACGGAAGGTACTCCGTCGGAGTACGGGGAGTTCCGTTACACAGACATTGACACAGATGCACAGACAGAGATACACACACTGATACACATACAGATAGACAGATACAAAAAATGGAACAGATATACAGACATGCAGGTACACAGACATCCAGATACACACACTGACACACCTACATATACATAGACATTCAGATACACACACTGACACATTCCCAATGATATACACACAGATACATAGACACAAACATTGACACAGATGCACAGACATAAAGATAAACATATTGACACACATACAGAAACACACACTTGCACATATAGATACACACACTGACACATATCGATACGCAGACTTATAGATATGCACTGATACACATACAGACACATACACATAAATACACAAACAGGCTATTTGACTATTTTTATTACTACCTACCCCTACCCTTACCTTTTGTGCCACTTTACCCCACTAACTCTAGCATGTAAGCAGGTTCCTCAACTCCTCTATTTCTGTAAGTCCAACTCAGTCCAATTACGTGTTTGTTAGCCCACCCATTGTACAGTACTTTGGAATTTGTTGATGCTATATAAATAATAATAATAATCTATTATTTTCACATCTACTGTATGTGACTTTTTTTTCTTTTCATACAAATATTTCAGACTTGTTTTTATAAGATAAGATATAGCTATATAGTCTAAAACTTTTCACTATTAAAACCTTTCTATACCCTCCCCTTTCAAAACATAAAAATTGTCAAACTCAAAAAAAAACATTTCTATAAAGGATGAACAAAAAACGCAAATTAAACAATTATGTAAACATACATAAAGGTTGTCTATAAATCAGTGTATAAGGAAATTGCTAGCTAGCTAGCTATGCATCACATGTTTCAAATAAATGTTATGATAAACTGTTTTCAAGCAAAAAGTGTTTGATAGTGAAAGTGTTAAGGAGATTTAATAAACAATTAATTAAACCAAACAAACTGGAGATACATCCTGCTGGATTTTGACTAGTAATTTAGTCTATAGTTTGCACAGTTAATGACATAAGAGCTGATATACCAGGGTGTTTTGTTATGTACAAGGACAAAACAAACAATTGTGGTGTGGGCTACTATATATTAACTACAGGAAGAACATTACAGCCATCACAACAGACATGTCATGAAAGTTACTCATTTTCTGTATTGAATTTATGGTGGTGATGATCACCAACTAAAATGATAGTGATCGAATGTGACCACGTAGACTGCCACATTCCAATCACTATAGAAGCTCTTGACAACCACTTGAAACAAGACACCCACCATAATTAGCAAATATCTTGCTGGTATTTGGCTTGCTGAACTTGATGGTTGCTGGAGTCCAAAGCAGCTAAAATGCCAAAGTTTGCATATATCCTTGCAGAAGCTTATGATTGTTTTACGGTAGTGATGCTAACCTTTAAATTCAATTTATTAAGACTTACGTTAAATCAATAAGGTAAGTCTGGAAATGTACCATAGATTTGTTTTATGACTAACTTTTCCGATCATGAATCAGCAATGTCTCATAAGTTATCCACATTTAATTTGACTTCTCAGTGCTCTACATGAGACAGATCCAAAGCCAATCCTGAGCCACACTTTGCAATAGAGTGTTCAAATATAATCTCATTAAGTGATTGCTTTCCGCTGCAAGAAGTCAGGGAACAGAAAACAAACTTTATTTACAGATGGCAATTTTTATAAATATATATTACATATTTACAATCTACAGTACGTTCTGTAACATTTACTGGCTTAATACAGCAAAGGAAAGTAACAGTGGTAGGATGGAACAAACCAATGGAATCACCAGAGAATTAGAAAGACATTTTGTAATACTGCACAAATTATTCATAGCCCTGTGTCGACTGAGATTGTTGCATTATTAACCAGTAAAGGCTTAAAAATTAACCTTTTGAAATAATATGGCCAGTAACAAAAGGGCATAGTCAATATTAAGATTTTAATTGCCACTAATCATGAAATGCAAAATCACTGGTTATTAAAAAGATGCAGAATATCTAAAGGATTTGAACAGATTTGTAACATTTCACATGTAGAACAAAAGTCTATAATGAAGATGTTTCATGCATTGCTTTATTTGTAACAATGGAGAGCTAGTTAACTAAAACAGTACTTAACCAGTTACAAACTTTGTGGTGTATTCATTAAGGGTTGAGTTCATGGAGTCACATTGGTATTGCTGTAAATACCGAACTGAAGCCTTTTGCTCCCAGAGTTGTAATAATACCTCCGACAGTGTTACTGGGATGTCATAAGCCAGCTTGGGAACTTTCCGTTCATAATGGACGTTTGTCATCATAGTGCACAGTATGTTGGCGACAGATTTGTACTGCTGACACTTCCCCCACTAGCTGCCCATGTCCTCCTCTCAGCTTGCTCTCCCCCTTCATCTCTTAATCTATATCACGGAGGAATGATGTTAGCAGATGAAGGTCAAGCTGCTGAGAGAACTTGGCCTAGATGTTGGAATCGAGGTAAGTTTTATTTTTGTTTTGTTTATTATTTAAATTTGATGGGTGGCAGGATAGGAAGGGTTACTTTAACTAAAATTGTGTTTTATTAAAGCACTATTTTTTATTACTAAATGTAATTTACTAAATATAACTGCTACATAATGGAAGAGGTTGTCTTTGACACTGTATTTTGTAGAATCAACCTCTCGATGCCCTCCCTATTGTGTCTTTATACTCCACTCTTCTAGACTGTGAGCTTGTCTGAGCAGGGCCCTTATCTACCTATTGTATCTGTATAATTTTGTAATTGTTTAATTTATTGTAAAATTGTCCCCTTTCATAAAATTGTAAAGTGCTGCAGACAAAAAATGGCTCTATATAAATATCAAAAATAATAACTACGGGCCTTTCGTGATGGAATCTCTCAACAATTAATATCTTTATCGGTCCATTGCCAAGTGTACCTGTTACATATAGGTGATATTAGGAGGAATTAACTGGGGATGCAAATTTAGATTAATTTAATTAACTAAAAACAGAAAGTCATTTGCCAGCTGTTGTGGAACTACAAGACCTATAATGCAAATGAAAATAAAAAATATTGAAACAAAAGGATGTGTCTTTAATATTAATAATTATCATCATTTTTTCCTGAATACTTTATATCTATTTTGTAACCATGCTGCAAAAAAATAAAATATTGAATATATTCTCAGCCTTTTCCACTTTTAATATTTAACAGGGAAAATACATTGAAATGTATTCTCCCTATTAGATATTGTAATATAAATAATGCATTAAAATTCAAATACATTTATACATATGAAAAAGTAAAAACAAAAGACAGCTCTCACTGCTCATTGTTCACAGCAAATCTATAGATTTGGCATGGACCAGGACCTAGATGTGATTTCTCAAATATTCATACTATTATTTGTAATGGGCGTACAGGGCATATACAGTAAACCATTGCCTAATAAAATATGTAGTTCAGAAATTGTTTTATTTATAAAAAGAAATGAATGACAATGCTCAGCAAAGTAGCAGAATCTGCGGTATAGTTATTAGTAGCCTGCAGAGTACTTTCATGTTTTCATAAGAATGAAGTTGTACATGGTTTATGTGCAGGCATTGTCATTGAAAGCCTTTGAGAGAATGTATTCAAGTTTCTGAATACTTGTACAGCAGGTATCATAACCTCTGCAAGATTTATTGTTATCTATATTGCTGGAAGTGTCCCTTTTACAATACTTGATATAACCATATGATGTTTTTTTTGCAGATCCACTACACTCATTATATACGAGTCTTAATAGTGCCTTTAGAGAAATGGCATCTCAAAAGAAGTATTGAAACTTCCATCAATCAGCAGAAGCTTCCTCACTCAACTTATGAGAAATGCATAGCAGCTATCTATCTAAAGAAACTATCTAAATTTGCCTGTGCTAACAAACAACAATTCCCAATGGCTTGTGAATGATTTGTTACGTCCCGTTTGCTGTCCTCTTTCTGTTCCTCCTTTCTGGTCTACTTTAGAACACGTAAGACAATCCCTTGGTTACAAGCCCATCACCTTAGTTGAAGTTCTGGTTGGCTTTGTCTTTCTTTGAAACATCATTTTTAAAAGGATCCAAAATCTGTTTATTTCTGTTTGTTACGTTACTGTGCTATTCCTGTTTTATTATATTTCTGATAGAACAGTTAAATAATTTCATGTCTTTGCCCCTATTGCAGTTATGTTAGGACCTCCCCAATCAATCTTGAAACCAAAGACAGGTTTGAAGAATGCTGGACTAGATGAGACATAATGAAATTAATTTAAAAAAAGAAAGAAAAATGATTGCACATTTTACCTCTATGGTTTTTGTTTCTAGGTAACAAAATCAAGTTGTGTATCTAATCACTATACCTCTTTCTTTATAAAAATATGTTGAAATCTGTTATACATACTTAGCATTCAATAAAGAGAGATTTCATGTAAAACATATTGGTAAGGTAATTAAGGTAGTTACAGCAAGATTGTGTTGAAATACACTAGTAAACAACATTAATCTTCCTTTTTAATGGAGTCATGTCATGAGATGCAGATTAACCTCTTAGTTAGGGTTTACTGATGATGACCTTATATACTAGGCTCAAACACAGTTCAGAATCTCCAAAATCACAAAAGAAATATAATAAGGTGAAGGTTTTTAGAGGTGGGACAAATTCTAATTACAAATGAAGCGATACAGGTGTCCATTACTACCACAAGTTTATTTCAAAGACTAACATGATTATTCACTAGAGTGAGATTTGTTAGGAATTCAAAGTTATTTTTTAAGTAAGGCCCAATGTAGCTGAACAGGTAGAAAAATGGTCATGGAGAATTTTTCCAATTCAGCTATGTTGGCCTTAAATTTGAAATTCACTTCGAATTCATGACTGTTCTCACTTTAGTGTGTAACCCGGTTTCTGCTCTATTTCATGAGAACTGGCCTCACATTTCCCATTCCATGCATATCATTTTTCTTATTCTAATTTTGCAAACATTTGACAGTTCCCCTGCATCTCCAAATGTAGGACACCAGGGAACAACTCTAGCCCAGTTTGGACTTTATTATTCCTCCAGTTCTCTACTGATGTGAATGCTGATCTGCACATCTGTATGCTATTATACATGCTTTCCTATAGCTCATAGAATAGAAATGAAACAGATACTGTTGTTAGGGATATTGGAATTGGAGGAATCTTGTGTTGGGACTCCCTTAGAAACATAGAATGTGACGGCAGATAAGAATCATTCGGACCATCTAGTCTGCCCAATATTTCAAAATACTTTTTATTAGTTCCTGTCCTTATCTTAAGTCTAGGATAGCCTTATGCCTAGCCCACGCATGCTTAAACTCCCTCACTGTGTTAACCTCTACCACTTCAGCTGGAAGGCTATTTCACTACCCTCTCAGTAAAGTAATACTTCCTGATATTTTTTTAAACTTTTGCCCCTCTAATTTAAAACTAGACATGTCGGCCGAATTTCGGGTAATTCGGACATTCGGGTGCTTCCGAATGTCCGAATAGCTGAATTGTCGAAGTGCCGAAATTACCAAAGTGTAGTAGTGCCGAAGTGGTGAAGTGCCGAAGTTGCCGAAGTTCCGAGGTGTCAAAGTGCCGAAGTTCCGAAGCACAGTATTGCTTAGTACTAATATACTTACCAAGTGAAAGAAAAAGAATGTTACATTGTATACAATTTTAAATAAAAAGTATACAAACACAGCCAGGATTCAGCTGTAAGCGTTTGCAACACTTACAACAATCAAGTAACACACATTCATATAAAATGTAAGTTACTTGGCCAGTCATGTAATGACAGGAATGAATACGTAGATAACTTCCTAATTCCCACGGTATTAGGGTGCTATCTATTAAAAGGCTGAAAGATTACTTAGTATTAGTAAATCATGCCCCTAATCGCTATACCATGAGTAGGGGCATGTCTATTAAACAGTGAGCAGCCTGTGGCTCAGGGGTGGGGGCATGAGGACATTAGGTCCCCCCCTTTATTCTAGTTTAGGGCCCCCACCTACCACTCAGGGGTGGGGGCCAGGAGGGAGGACATTAGGTCCCCCCCAATTTTTATTTGGGCCCCCACCCACCGCTCAGGGGTGGGGGCCGGTGGGGAAGACAATAGGTCCTCCCCCCTTTTTTACTTTAGGGCCCCCACCCGCCGCTCAGGAGTGGGGGCCGGGGGGGGCAATAGGACAGCCTCTCAGGAGGGGAGACCCTTTTTTTTTTTTTGCTGTGGCTGCTCACTGTTTAATAGACATGCCCCTACATTTTTTCTTAGTATTAGTAAATTTGGCTGAAAGACCAGTTTAAGTCTTTGGGTGTATCACATCAGGCTCCATCGACTTATTGGTCTTTGCTTTTGATAGTTGAAATTTAACCTCTTCGTCTGTAAACTTAAATGTAAAAAATGACTAATTTGTCCTTTTTACTAACAGAGGCCCCTTTCTTTTATTTTCATCTGTAAATACTGAACAAAAATATTAATTGAGGAAATCAGCTAGACCTTTATCCTCTTCCACATACCTTCCTTCTTTTGTTTTTAATCTAATTGTTTTACTTTCATTTTCTCATTTATGTATCTAAAGAATGTTTTATCCCCCTTTTTTACTGACTGTGCTGTTTTCTGTTCTGTGTGTGCTTTGGAGGCTCTTATTACTTGATTAGCCTCTTTCTGCTTAAGCTTACAGATCTCTCTGTTTTCCTCACTCTGTTTTTTTTAATAATTACTAAATGCTAACTTTTTGTTTTTTACTATTTTGGCCACATCTGCGAAATGCCACAGTGGTTTCTTACATTTTTTTGCTTTTACTCACAAGCCTAATGCACTTTTCTGTGGCCTTCAGCAGTTCAACTTTTAAATAATCCTATTTCTCCTGGACTCCATTTAAACTGCTGCAGTCTGACAAGGACTCCTTTACGCATATTCTAATTTTAGAAAAGTCTGTTTTTCTAAAGTCTAAAACTTTTGTTTTTGTGTGGTGTAACTCGGTCACTGTTTTTATATTAAACCACACTGACTGATGATCACTGGATCCTAAACTTTCACCTACAGTAATATATGATACCAAATCTCCATTTGTTAACACTAAATCTAGTATTGCCTCCTTATGAGTTGGTTCCTCAATGAGTTGTTTTAGAGACAATCCCAGTAGGGAGTTTAGAATATGTGTGCTCCTGGCACAAGCAGCTATTTTGGTTTTCCAATTCACATCAGGAAGATTAAAGTCACCCATGATGATAACTTCCCCCTTCATTGTCATTTTAGCTATTTCCTCAACTAGTAGATTATCCAACTCTTCTATTTGTCCAGGGGGCCTGTAAATCACACCTACACGAGTTACTGTGTGATCTCCAAATTCTAACGTCACCCAAAAGGGCTCTATGTTCCCCTCATTAACTTTTATTAGGCTAAATTTTATGCTATCCTTCACATACAGGACCACCCTTCCCCCTTCCCCCTTTCTTGCCTTCTCTGTGTTTTCTATATAAATATATATATATACCCTGGTATGTCCCACTCATTTTCATTATACCATGTCTAAGTTACAGCCACTAAATCTACATTCTCAGTTGCCATTATTGCCACAAGTTCATGGATCTTATTCCCTAAACTGCGAACATTTGTAGACATGACTCTAAGCTTATCTTTTTTAACACACTTGTTACAGTTACTTTCTGTCCTTGTTTTGGGGGGCAATTGGATTGATGTTTTATTACCCTTTTGTCCCCCCCTCCTAATTTAAATACTTCCCAGCAAAACCTCTGAACTGCTCACTAAGAACATTTGTTCCCTTTTGAGAAAGATGCAAACCATCTTTTTTCTACAGTTCATTTCTATTCCAAATAGAGCTACCATGAGAAACAAAGCCGCATCCTTGCTCCCAACACCATTCACCAAGCCACAAGTTAAAGTTCCTAATGTGCATCCACCTGTCATTCTGAGTATTATGCAGAGAATGACAGTGTGGAAGCAACCTGCCATATAGTTTAAATGAAACAAATCTTAATTTTTGTTTATCTTTTTTCCACTTTCTGTGTACCTCAGACTACCTCCAGTTTATCTCCAGAATATCTCCAAATACACGTTGCAGCAGAACTTAGAAGCAGCTGCCAAGCTATGCTTAGCAGATTGTCCAGGTCTTACTATCCTCTTGCTTTGGCCTCTGTGATGCAATGGACGGAAGAGCAGCTATACTTAGGGAAATACTTGAAAACCCTTGCATATTGATTGAATCACTAATGAAGTGATTGACAAAACCGGCTAGGGCTGTTTTCTTACAGCAGGCAACCAGATCTACATAAATTTACTGTTCTTCAAGTTGTGTCGTATGGAGTACCTCAGCTGCAATCCCAGGTATGATTGATTACTTGGACAGTGTCAGTTTTCAGAGTTGTGGCTTATAGCCAACTTGCGTGTATTGCAAGTAAAGTTTTACCTGGAAGGTATGTGACTGTGCAAATAAAACATTGCTAATGGAGTAGGAGATGTTTAATTCAGCATCCACTCAATGTTAAGTTGCACACTTAGGGACAGACAAAAGTTTAGTTTCCTCTTAGAGAACAATGTTTGGATACACAATGAAAAGGTAGTGCAAACATTGGGGACTAAAGAAGGGTACACAATTATCCCCTTTATTAAAACAGCACAGCAAGGTACCTTATAAACTAAGATTGCAATCTTGAGTGTACAGTACTCATGTCTGTCAACTCTCAGCACCTGATGCAAAATCTCAGTTTTACTCTAAACCCAGAGTGAACAGAGATATTATTAAGGTCACGGTTTGCAACTGACTTCTTAATTTTCCACACAATTGAGATTTCAATTAGTATTTTTCTTAGTTATTTCTTATAGCTGAAGCTCCTAATTGAATTCAAGTAACTCAATGAAAATGTAACTTATAGTACTACATGGAGAATCACCACAAAGGATATATGTCAGGGACAGTTAAATGGGTAAACATTTTCAAAAGCTTCTGGGGTAATTAGAAAGTTCACATCTATGTCAATACACCATCTTGCCCAGGTTTGTGTCTAGTGCATATAACAACTATTAGGCAAGGAGACTTAAAGAATGAATCAGAAAGTAAAGGTATAATTTCACGACTAAAGTTATCCTAGCTGTATCCCACCAGTTTACTTTGCAATGCAGATAGGAACATCACACATCGCAGACAATTCTAGACTCCATATTATCATTATTAACATCAGACTTTGCTTCAGATAGATTGTTTTACCCTGTGGAAGTCCATTATAAAAAGTTTTTTTGTGCATTTATTAGCCATTGAAAGTAATTTAGTTACACCTTTGTATAGCAGGATGAAAGTTATAACAATTCATTACTAAAGGCATTTTAACCTTTTTGTAAATGCCCAGCTGAGTTTAACCAAAAAAGTGCTTAAAGAATATTTCAAACATTTTCATGTAACCTCTCCATATAGTTCCTGAGTTCTTTGCAGTCCCCCATATCTATATCTTGACATACCCACTTAATATCATCTTCAATGTTCATTAAAATAGGGTTTACAACAGGACATCCATCCTCAGTGGGAATAGTTGTAAAGGTGGTAAATTTTACACGTTTCCTTTTAGACGTTGGTGAGGTAGAAGGCTCCCCCCTTGGCTCTTTCACTTCATTGAATGATGTCTCTGCAGACCTGTATGCCTGTCCATTTACAATTTTGGGATGGTTTGTACTTATAAGGTATTTACTTTCTACAATGTTTACTCCCCTGTCTACAGCTGTAATGCATTCATCTTGTGTTGGAAAGTTTAAATTATTTTCCAAAAGGTCTGTCCGGTTTGTAAGCCCCACCCAGTCATGTGAATGTGTCATTGTCTCCTGCTCATCCAAAGGAACTTGTTTGTTCCTGTACTTTAAAGCAAATGTCACACAATTAATGAGAAAAACCAGTATGGCCAGGCAAAATACCCCCAACAAAGCGTACATTCCAATTTCCAAGTCACTTAATCCTCTCCCATTTTGGGAAAGATCATTTTCTTCCATGTCTCCATTGTTACTAGGTAGGTCAACATGTGCAGGAAAGCTAGTGAAATCCATTGGTGCATTTGCCAGGTGTCTGTCATCATCCAAAAGACTCTCCCGCTCTCTCTTCTTGCTTAGTTGGGCTTGATCAGTAGTTACTTTGTTCATGGTAAGAACATCTCTGTCCATAGAAGGTGTGCCAAAGAAAGCCCCTTCTGGCTTAACACCTTGCAGTGTTGTTTTTTTACGTCTGTCAGTCACATATTTTCGGAAATTATCCAAATTATTAGTAATATTTTCATTGTCATGACCAAATCTAACTTTAATATTTCCAATTCCAACTGTGAGAACACTCTTTCTTTTCGATTTTTGACACAGCTCACTTATCAGGAGTTCGACCTTGACCAAACCGCCTTGTCCTTCTGCTGTGGCTACAAATACAGGCCACTTAGATTTGGAATCTTGCGTAACAGAAAAAATATGTTCATCCAATGATGTAACACTTAAAGTAAAGTCTTTAGGGTCATAAATATCCAGTGGGCTCACAGTGCCATCACTAAATTGGATCCAGCAACTGACTTCAACTTCCTGTATGCAAAGATAAAAAATGCAGGAAACAAAAACAGATAAAAAGAAGAAAACTATTTCATAAAGAATATTTTATGCTGTAATAAATTGCCAACTACTGGGAGGTGAAGGACACAAATTCATTTCTGAGACATAAAAAACACTAGTTTAAATTTATCTCTAATAATTTTTTTCTCAGTGGTGCTAAAAAGACAATGGGTCCCTTGGGCAATGTGGATTCAACTTTAACAGCAGAATAATAAAGTGACTGTCAAAAGACATTATATGCTGACTTAAATTATTACAGTTGTGTATTTAAATGAAAAAGAATTGAATATTTCAAAAAAATGTATTAAAGTCTACACTGATGAATTCCAATAAATGATAAAGTACCTAACCTTCTGGTAATGGGGACGAACATTGTACACTGCTTAATGGCTTTTCCAGTAACGTAGAGGTTAATTTAATAATAAAATCTGGTTATAAAATCTGTTTGATGTTGCCTTGAATGCTTTAAAGATGACATATTTTTGTGTAGATTTATATGTTCTTCTTTAAAACTAATGCTAGAATATATGTTTGTTAATGTTGCGTTCACAAAATAATGGCAAACATTAAAATGCAGAAACACATAGGTACTTGCATGCATTAAAAAAAGGAGAAGGATTCAAAGGAACAATTTCTTTTTCAAAACATTATACTGTTCATAGCAAACAAAGCAAATTATAGCAAACAATACATTTAAACAATTATTTATTTACTAATTATTTTATGTCCACGTAAGCATTTACCCTTAAAGGAAGCTATTCTATGTCTACAAGACACACATGGTCACACAGTACTGCACATACTGCTAAAGGCATGAGTACTATAGTAAATCACAAACTCACTACGGCCATGTGGAATGTGGGTAAATCAGTCCATAGGGTGAGACCTGTTTTTTTTTCCAAGACAATTTTAATTGTAAAATTCTGTTAATAATTATAAAGGACAAATAGGAAGTATGAAATATTATTCATACTGGCAAACACTGAAAGCGGCAGGATATGACTATACATTACGTTTTGAGAGTTGTAGACAAATAGCACAGGAATCTCCTATCAGCTATAGTTCTAGTTCTAAAGTAATCGTGGAAGCTACAGTAAATGCAGGGTGCCTTTTTGTAATTACACTTTTCATCACAGAGGGCACATGTGCACCCAGATGCATTGTACTGAGTTCTTGTTTGCCAGGCTTACAGTCTCAATGTGCTGAACTCAGCATTCTGAGCTCAAACTATCCAATGCATTTAAATTCACAAAAGAAGTAGCCAACCAACCAAATGTGACTTTAAGTTTGTCTGACTTGATTTTAAGCATACCTGCTTTTGAGAAGTAAGATGTTCATGTGCTGTAGTTGTTGCATAGATTGCTCTGTTGCTTCCTGTGCTGAGCTGAACTGAAAGTGAAAGTCCAGTAACCACTTGAATGCCTAAATCTGTGATGGACACTTTTTCATCTACAACCATCACTGTTTTTTCTGCCAATATGGAATCCGAAAGAGGGGACAAAATCTGAATAGACAAAAGTAAAGGTACATAGTAACTCGTACTGAATTTACATTTGCTACATTTACTACATTAGATGACCACTCCTCACTAAAAATTTTTAACCCCCCCACAATTAGTAGATATCCCCTAAACAAATACATACATACAATTTTCATGCACGTATAAATTAAAATATTTTAAACGAGCTTTTAAAAGCTGCAGTTCTCATGACTGTATACTTTTTCAAGCCCTCACCCTTTTCCCTGTAAGATACTTTGAGTTTTTTTCACTGGGGAATTA